AAACTAGTTTTTTTTTTTTCTAGTGGAATTCATATCCGATCACCCCCTTAGTGATTGGTTGACAAGTATTTTGTTTTTTTCTTAAAAAAAAAACAAAAACCATTGTTTATAGTTTTGCTATGGAGACATCAGATGACTCTACTTATGGAGTCCTCCATAGTTATTCACAAATAGTGTATTGACACGTGTCCTACAATAAATACACTTTGAACACGATTTAATAGAATTTTTGCCATTGTTTGTATATGAAAATATATTCCATTCACACTCAATTTATACTCAATCTAATTCAACTTTAACCTAACTACATTATGTTCAATATTATTAATATAATTAAATAATACTATCTAATTATTCTTACACATCACATCGATTGTAATTTATTATTCACCAATTCACATAATTTTAGCTAACAATTACTTCACAACATACGTCTTCCACTTTTACTTTTACATAAAATAAAGTGTAATTATTTTATTTTAAATATTATTTTAATATAAAGTCAAAATTCCACTTTATAGATTCTTTTTGCTTTGTTTAGATTTTTTGGTTTGATTTGGTTAGTTTTGAAAAAAGTGGTATGATTAGTTGTTAGTGATTATATTAAAATAATATTTGAATTAAAATAATAAAAGTTGATTTGATGTAAAAATATGAGATAAATGATCTGAAATGATGATTAGTTAAAATAATACGAGTGGATAAATAGTGAATTAAGATTGATGTGGTGTGTATGAATTATTGATTGATATTATTTAATTATATTGATAATATTGATGATAGTGAAATTGAATTAAAATTAAGTTAAAAAAATAATTGAATTAAAATATTCTGATTTTTTAAAAATTTATATAAACAAACTCGCTGAGTCTGAGAAATGGGATTTGTTTTGTCCAACATGGTGGCCTAACAATCCCACCCAACAACTTGCGTGAAAAACTGAAAATAGGAACATTTAGTTGGGTTTTTTTTACAATTACGCTAAATATGAGGTGCTTCTACAATAATATTTCAAAATCTTCACCACGAGGCACGAACCGCGTCCATCAGTGAATCTCACAATTGCCCAGCCGCAGTCTCGAGCGTGTAAAACACGCTCCATCATCACAGTCAAAATATGCATCTCACCTTCATCATCACAACACAACGGACACCACTAACTCCAAAACTGTGCACTCACGTGGACCCACTCTCTCTCTGTCATCATCTTCATCTACACATCACACAGACACACACACAACTAAACTTATATGTATGTGTATATTGTTGGAATTATGGAGCTTAATGTGATTGATCGTGCATGGTTTATGTTCATGCAGAGTGTTTTAGCATTTTATCTGTCATTACTCCTTTTATCTGAAGTCGCGCTACACTTACTAAGTCGCACTTCTTTTCCGTTGTCACTTTCTTCTTGTCACGTGTTTTAGTTATTGGCACATGTGTTATCTTTCTATTAGATTCTCTGTTCCCCACGTGATATAAGTGTGTTAGCTGGGGGTTTTCTACTGTAATTTTGTATTGAACATTTACAGAGCTCCAAGCTCAACTTTAATGGTGATCTAGGTTTTGTATATTTTGTTGGTGATTTCAACGATTATTTGACATATTAACTCAAGTTTACATGGTATCTAGAGTGAGTCTCTAATCTCCGATGGCGCAGAACATTGATGAGCAAGGTCGACTGATCGTTGGGCGGTACACCTACACTCGAGATATAGATCCACTCTCTCTTCATGGATCCGATCATCCTGGTTTGGTTCTGGTAACTAATTTGCTCACTGGTGGAAATTATCTACATTGGAGTCATGCGATGAAGCTTGCCCTAGGAGCTAAGTCGAAGCTTGGCTTCATCGATGGAACGGTGGAAATTCCAGAACGGGGTACAGAGGAGTTCGAACAATATAAGAAGGTACAATCTATGGTCATTTCCTGGATGCTTAATTTTATTTCTAAGGATATTGTTTAAGCTTTCATCTATACAAAAAATGCTAAGCAATTATGGG